TCCATTGGGGTTTTCACGCGTGGGTTCGAATCCTCACCAGAAATGTTGTATCGAGGCTCGCGCGATTGCTTTCCTCCCATTAACGGTCGTGATAACTCGAAGGACCAAGGATAGGGATTCAAGGGTTCTTTTACATAAAGAAACCAGTTCGTTATATAGCATAACGCACAAACATGAAAGCCAACCAGAGTACGGACAGAATGCGGACAATTAAAGCCCACAAGAACAAAACACAATCAAGTGCACGCTAAGGACTAAGGTGAGAGTAAGAGTGTCAGAGTATGCCTGCTAGTTAAAGGCAAAGACAACGACTCCAAATAGCCAATAGGGGTGACGAAAAGATACGTATATTCCGCCACTAGTTACCCCACCGTCCACTTTATCCAACGTCACGTTCACTGCAGAAATGGTGCAGCAAAAGCTGCTATCCTTGCGTCCACACAGCTCTCCCGGGGCCGATAACATTCACCCGAAAACATTACGGGTAGCTGCCATCCACTTGGCCGAACCACCAGCTGCATTTTTTCAGCGCTGTTTCGATGAGAACATCGTACCTTCGAGGTGGAAACAAGGTGTAATAACGCCCATATACAAAGCAGGAAGTCGATCGGATTCTGCCAGTTACCGCCCCGTAACGCTTCTGCCTGTGATCGCCAAAATCATGGAAGCGGTGATAGCAGATGCGTTAATGGGATACTTGGAAAACTACGGCATAATTGCGCCGGAACAGCATGGGTTTCGTCAACATCGTTCATGTACGACGAATCTGCTGATAGCTCGTGACAACTGGACGGAGACTGTCGATGAGGGAACAGGAGTCGATGTTGCATTCTTGGACTTTGCGAAAGCCTTCGATCACATGGATCATCGAATCCTGCTCAGTAAACTCCAACAGTACGGTATCGGAGAGCCGTTGTTAGGATGGATCGGTAACTTTCTCTCTGAACGGCAGTTAGAAGTTAGAGTTCGATCATCCTTTTCCGATCCGATTCGAGTGGGATGCGGCGTACCGCAGGGTTCGGTACTTGGGCCTCGTTTGTTCCTGCTTTTCATTAACGACCTAGTAAGACTTATTACGTCGAAATTCTTACTCTTCGCGGACGAACTCAAGGTTTGGCGGGCGATAAAACGATCGGACGACCATGAAGTCCTACAGCGTGACTTGAATGAGGCCTGGAATTGGTCGGTGAGAAACGCCCTGCCATTTAATGTGAACAAATGTCGCGTTGTTCATATCCGCCATCGGCAAGTCCACGTCTACAAGCTTAGGGCACACGATCTGAAGACCACCACTCAGGAACGCGACTTGGGTGTGCTGGTACAGGAAGACCTCGGGTGTTCCAAACAATCAGATTCCGCTTCTAAAAGGGGCAACCAGCACGTTGGACTCCTGCGAAGAGCATTCGGAATTTTAGATCCATCCATCTTCTCTTTGATGCTGAATGCCTACATGCGTCCTCACGTCGAATATGCAATCCAGGCCTGGCAACCCTGGCTAAAACGTGACCTTGCAGCGCTTGAGACCCCACAGCGTCGAGCAACGAAAATCGTCAAGGGCTTGCGCCACACTCCTTACCAGGAACGACTGGAGATACTCGGAGTGTTCAGCGGACGGTACCGGCGACTTCGTGGAGACCTCATACTAGTGTACCAGATATTGAGCGATCCCAGTCACGTATGCCGCCACCTCTTGAAGCTCAGCCCGAACACTAACCTTCGCGGTAACAGTTTAAAGCTGAGCCAACAGTACAGTCGTCTAGACTGTCGGAGAACCTATTTCTCCCTCCGGGTCTGTGGGCCCTGGAACGTCTTTCCAAACTCAGTTGTTTGTGCCCCCACATTAGATACGTTTAAAAAATGATTGGACGTCGCACTGAGCGCCCTGCGCTTTGTTTTATGAACGAAAACACTTGTATATATTTAGGCTGCCCAGCCTCTTTGGATTTATACCCCAAATTCACGGTCGTAAATCTGTGCGAACCGGTGAGCACTACATTTTTATTTGCTACCATCACCAAAGATAACAATTTCTTAGTCAGTTTTGTGTCGTACCACTTTACCCCCCTAAACCTGTTATACTTCTACCTTTAATCTCACTGATGCTCCTTACTTCAACCACTTATGTGGTTTGCCAATTTGTTAGTATTTCTATTGCCAACCTGCGGGACTCGTTAAGTGTATGCTTTTTTACCCGTCATATACCATTGTTCCATTGTTCCATTGTACATATGGCTCCACCTCCATAGCAGAAGGAAAGTCTGTATTTTGCTTACCACTCCAACACTGGTTAGCCGTTTTCTCGCAGCAGCCAGCCTATTCGCTGTAGTTCACCTGCAAGTGTATTATGCGAGCAGATTCCTTCTGCTCTACTGACAAGATTCTGAATTAAATTACGTTTCAGCCTCAATGGCACGAAGCTGTGGAAGTTGGTGTACTGGTCGTTCCACTAGCTTTTTCTATATACGTGGCGCTGTAATATCCCGCTATCGAGGCTATTAAAGCCCACATCCAGAAAGTGAGAACAGACATTTTCTTCTACCTCTGCAGTAAATTGCAAGGTCTTATGGGCTCGGTTGAAAGTGTTGGTAGTATCTTCAATATTTTAGGAGGACTGAAACATTACAAATATCTCATCGACCTAACGGCAGTAGAAGATAAAACTTGCGATGTTTGATTTCTTGCTCAAGCATCTACATGAAAATATCAGCAAGTGCTGGCCCAAGTGGCGAGCCCATTGCCATTACATCTCGCTATCGGTAGTTCGCCCCCGTTAAATACAAATTGAACGTTAAACATGCATCTAAACGGCAGCTTTTCAAGGCCACTGTGGGTATGCCGACGTTAAACCCGCTCCCTTCAATATATTCGCAGGTGTAATTTATTGTCGCAGATATCGGCACATTTGTGAACAGTTAGGAGACATGCAGAGAACACATGGTTAGACACGAGGCGTTTACCTTTTTTATTACCTCTACAACTTCAAAGCTATCCTTCAAGCTATGCGCTGCTATGCGCTTTCGGATGGGTTCAAATATGTCAACTTGAAACCGTGCGGTGGACTGATAAGGTGAATGCTTCGTATAAAAGACCGGCCTCAGCGGGACATTTGGCTTGTGAGTTTTGGGCAAACCCTAGAGCCTAGGAATAACCGTACCCACAGGATGCACATACTCGTAAAGCTCCTTAGTGATATAACGTTCATTTTGTAGCTTCTTGAAGCATTTGCAGATATGGCTCTCGGATTGCTTTTTCATATATCTCTCACCCACTGTCCTCGAAGACTTCATCGAATCTGCCAGTATATGGTACATCTTATTCAGACAATCCAATTTGTTCATAATGACAATACCAGAGACTTTGTCTGGTGTAGAAAGCAAAAACTCATCATTACTGGCAAGACGATCTAAAGCTTTAATGTGCTCACGCCTCATGGGTGTTTGGTGTTTTAGCCGGGCACGAGGATACTGATAACATGCCTGCACTGGTGACGACTTAAACTCTTCTACGTGTAAACTGGAGGTCGGAGCTAACTGTGAGGTCTCCAAGAATGCGTTTTCGAACTAAGCTTCTATTACTACTCTGCTGTCTTTTCTGTTAGGAAGGCAGAACTTAGGCCCCAAGGACAAAACTTCAACAATAATATGCTCGAGTAGCATGGAAAATAAGTTGGTGACCTACCTCTTTGGTTTGGTTGGAAATAACGTCCTAGGTTTCTCCTGTTTCAGTGCTTTTGAAAGCGATTTCCGTACGTTCGTACTTTGTTTGCTGATCATGGCATTATCGTTTCCTCAAGCTTCATCTTGTCTCTCATGGTGAGTGTGGCTACTGCTATGTTCTGTTGATGACGTACACCAACGTCCAAGGCTTCGAACCACTGAGACTGAAACGAAATTTAATTCACTATCTAGTCAGTAGAGTAGAAAGAATCTGCTCGCATTATACACCTGCAGGTGAACTACAGCGAATAGACTCGTTGCTGAGGGAAAATGGTTACCCAGATCAATTCATAAAAGTACACATAGAGAAGAGCATGAACACAACTGTTGTTTAAACAGATAACAGAAAAGCATTTTCCTCGCAACTCCCTTATAAAGGGAAATCGCTGTCGAAATTATCAATCGCCGTCTATCATAGCAGCTCAGACGGACGTTCCCAGCAGCAAAATTACATATCTACTTTACCAGAACACTGACAGTGAAGCTAGGCCTTAAAAATAGTAGATCTGTCCACGACAACTGTATGTACATTCATACATTTACTTTTTCCTGTGGTTCAGGATATCTTGGTCGTACGACTAGGTGTCTATCCGAGAGAATGAAAGAACACCGTCTGGCATAGCTAGCGACCGGATGCAGAAGGGTATGTAACTCAGCCATAGCTGCCCACCTTGCCGACACTGGCCACAACCCTCGACCAGCTGAAGCATACCAAATTATCTAAAAGGCTCTGGATAATCGATCGAGGTATATACTCAGACGGATGGTAGAAGCCGCTGTGGCTATAGCAATCCGGTTGTACGAAGTAAAGTTGCGCATGCAGAAGCGATCTGTTCAGGCTATACAACGGCCTTGGCCCAATCGAGTAGTGGATTTTAGTTAGTTTGACCGAGTGATTACACTGACATTGACCTGATTATTGGCGAGAGTTGACCTGTGAACTGATTTTACCTCGTTTTAACGACTCAGTAGTCTGTCTAATTGATGTAATTAACATAACGATGTACCAGGTTGATGAGGAACTATCGAAGCAATATGTTCGCTTACATAGTGTTTTATCATTAGTTGCGAAATTAGAGAGTGGTGAAGTCGATGAAGTTTAATGGTGATGGATGGGTTAATGGAAAGTTTATTGCGCGTTAACTTCTTACCAATATAAGGAGAGAGTTGTGCCGTCATTTATACAACGTACCGATTAGAGCCAGAATTTTAAACCTCGTTATCATCGTTTCTATTAATATATACAAACTCCCCTTGACCAGTTGGCTTGATTTCTTTTGTCAGGAGACAGAAAACAATCGAATGAAAGTCGGACAAACTTACAAGGTGACGAAGAAGCAGCGAACTGTGAAGAAGGTGGAGGAAACGAAGAGCAGGAGAATGAATCTTGTGGTAAGAACACGTTAACCGTGTGCAACAAGTCAAAAAATGGTGTACTCCGATCAGTTCAATACATTAGAATGCTCCAACACATGCAACTCCCCACGACAGCTCGTTTTCTAGGTGTTTAGAACGGGATGGACGGAATGGGGAACATATGTAGGCAATGGTGCACTACGGCTTGATGAGGGAAGAAGAAACTCCCAATGAGAGCTCCAAGACGATAATTGGGATTTGAAAACAAGAAAAACTCACTACATTGCTCGCATTGAAGCACGCGTACGTTAGTCTACCTCAGTGGTATAGACAATACTGGTGGTTACACCGTTTGTTAATTTGTGGTCTCCCGATGTACATGAGCCGTAGTCCGTAATGTGGATGAGTTCTGATACCGTTAAGACAACGTGAAAAAGGACACAAAACATCTTGGGTGGGTCTTCAAGAATCGCACTTGTGGAGAGAGAATGGGTTCCTGTGGCATTCGAGCAGGCTGTATAACACAGCCAAATTTAGTTGGAGATCCATACCTTCGTGTTATATTTCCTTCGTCATAAATGACGCTAGATTGGTTGGTACTCCTCAGGCTCTGATACGTAATTATGTGGGCGTACCGTGCACAGCGATTTTGACTACCGTGCAGTCTTAGATCTCTTGTCATAAACCGATATAGCATGCTCTTATTAGTCATTTTTGTAAAGCTCGAGGGCGGCGCTATCTAGGCCTAGTCAGGACCATTAAACCTGAATAGTGTATTCTACATGAGGCCGCAAGTAGTTGCTAAGCATGTACAGACTGAGTGACGGTTAAAACCGTAGACCGGTTTGATGTTCTCTTGTCTATGACTCTTTCCCTGCTTGCGTCGAGTAATCGAGGTCAATTTGAAGTAGTACCTGAAAGATACGTTCCAGGAATACCGCCAACACATCGTGACCTCAAAGCCAGTATATGCAGTTCGGCTAACAACAGATGAAGTACAGGCAGATTCATTGACGGTCCTTCATGAACTCTGTCCACTTCTAGTCGAAGTGTTTCATAGTGTCTGTGCACACAACTCACCCTCCATATTTTCGCATCATTAAAATAATCAAGGTATTTGAGACGAGCACAAGCAAACGCTCGTGATTGTATGCAGAGAATAGGTGTGACCCAGGCACTGGTCCTTGTGAAACTCCACACTCCAAAGTTTAATCTGTAGATGTGGTTGCGGCAAGAAATTCCAAACCTAACTAAGTAAATAGTCGCCGATTCTGCATCTATGTATCCTGTAGGGCAGTTTAAACATTCGGAAGCTCTGGAAAATTTGTGCTAAATGAACTTGATTTCGGTTCATCTACCAGCCTTTTATGTTTGAATAGCAAATGTAATCAGATTAGTAGAGCATGAGCGGTGTTGACGGAACTCAGGCTGAATAGGTTACTCGATGTTACAGCACTCAGGTGGTCGTCCATAGAACCTCAGAAATAATTGCCTCCATTACATTTGAATGCTCGCACAGGAAGCCGGAACAATGGTGTAATGGGGATGAAATAGCCAAAGCGTGACAACTCCCGTGGGATGGTTTTTGTGGATTACGTAAGTACAAAAACAAGTTACACTAAAGTGAAACGCGCATCTGTGGACTGACCATATTATTCACGTTATCACAAAGGTGTATCCGTTTAAACAAATTTCGAGCGCGTCGATGAGCACAATGTTTGTCTACGTTTTGTAGTCACTGAATGAAGAGAACTCAAATCAAGTAATCTACGTGGATTGGTGCATCGTCCAGTGGTTTTTAAAAACGGCTAGCGTGGACGCAGAAGTGATAAAAGTACAAATAGCGTTCCACGGTTGACAAACTTGAAGGACAAAAGAATTCCGATGGCACTCAAACCAACTGTATTGGGTGGCAAATTTCCTTTTATTACCCCAAGATTCTGTGTTGTAGCTAAGCCTCACGTGGCGTCAAGCGTGACCGAGGTTTTTCAAAATCTGGAACGCCAGGATGAGGTCACTCCGTAGACTGCGATCTCTTTCGCTGTACACTCCCAGGGCTTTCAGTCCCCTATGGTATTGCAGGTGGGACAACCCCTTCACATTTTTCCCTGCCATTCGCTGAGCCGTCTCCAGTGCAGCCAGTTCGCGTTTTAACCAGGAGTGCCAAGTCTGGATCGAGTACTCTACATGGGGCCACGCATACGCATTGAGCATATGGGGGAAAATGGAGGAATGGAACCTCCTGAACGCTCTCCGTAACAGACCAACCTATTGCTTCGCGGTTTTGGACGCCTTCAAGGACTGCATCGAACAGCCGAGGTCGTCTTGGATCACCACCCCAAGATCTCGCTCTTGAAATAGGTTTTCAGAATGTCGTTTCCAAGCTTATATGCGTCCATGGACTTATGGTTGACAAGCAACGTGTTGCATTTGTCCATGTTAAACGGAAGTAGATTTAGCTTTGACCATTCAAAAGTGCAATCGGGGTTTTGTTGCAACCTACTGTGATCTTCCTGACAGTCGATTGTCCTCCGTATCTTGATGGCATCGGTAAAAAGCACGAAATTTGACCTGATGACACTCGCAAGGTTATTAATGAAGAACAGGAATAACCCGGCCCCAACACCGACCCTTGTGGAACACCGCAGTCCACACCAATTGCAGCATAAAATGAATCTGGAACTCGAACGTGAAGGCGCTGCTGAAAGAGGAAGTTTCCTATCCATCCAAAGACAAAGTTTCCAACTCCATCTGCTTACAGCTTTTGGAGAAGGATGCGATGATCTATACGGTCGAATGTCTTAGAAAAGTCTAGATTGATGACATCAGTACCGGTCCCACTGTCGGATATCTCGGTCCAACTGCAATGGGCAAGCTGTAGCTTGGTAGTACATGACCCATGCTGACGGAATCCGTGTTGCTCCGGTGTTATGATGTCAGCCGTTTCGAAGTAGCCCATTGCAGCCTCAGCTATGGTCGATTCCATCACCCTTGAGAACACCGGAATGAGAATCACTGGTCGACAGTTGGCTGGCTCCGAACGGCTACCTGTTTTGAAAATCAGGGTAATGATGCCTTGGTTCCATATGCTATGGACCTGGCGTTCGTCTAGACATCTTTGGAAAATTCAAGGTAATGACTCAGCTATCCTCATAGCTGCCCCTGTAGTGCTTTCGGGTTAATGTTGTCAACTCCGGGGGAACAATGAGTGCGCAACGACAGCAGCTTCCACAAAATGGTCGCTGAGCTAAACGCGACGTGTGTAAATACTGGCATCTAGGAGAATGATAAGTATGTTACAAATGCATGGAACAAGTCGGAAAATCGGAGCATATTGTAACCCTAGATCTTTAGCTGGATCCACGGCGGTTTGGAAATATCCATCCGCCGATATTAGTCGGAGAACACCACATTCCACCTTCTGGAGGCTGTTCACATCTCTGTACAGAAACATTTTATTAACATGAAACTTTTCCGCTAGACTCTGCTGGTGTACTAATTTGTCCTCGCACGCAAATGTGGTACAGTGATTACGATGTACAACATACTTACTCCAGTTGTCAGAGCTGGGGCACACTCTACATACACTTGCCACACGGCGTCTCTTACAATCATATGTTTTCGGGTTCCACTTCGAATGAATGGTTGTGCCTTTGTAGAACCAAGGGGCTTGTTGACCGATGTAGATTTAATCAGCTCACTGAACATGCCAGTAAAATACAACAAAGCACTGTCAATGGAACAGTCGTCCGGAAAGTCCCAACTCGCACCTCCCACAAGCTCTGCTAGTATCTCGTAGTGGGTAATTTTTCAAAACAAGTTAGTATGTTCTTGTAGATACTCCGCATAACACACGGAGTCGTACATGAAGGTTAAGTGATCGCTCCGCCCCAGAGGGCTCTCCAGCCTTGGTTTCTCAAACATGAGCTCTTCGTTCGTGAGCACTAGGTCAAGCACAAATGGTGTATTTCCGACTCCGAATCGGGTGGGTGAATTGACATGGCTGAATATCGGAATGCTTGCAATATACTCTTACAGGTCGGACTTAAACTGCTCTTTGGGGGATGCCGGAAATTTCAAAGCATGAATATTGAAGTCGCCTGAGATGATAACATGACTGTATCATCCTAGGATAATGTCAGGCGAGAGTCCATCTCTGAGGTGGACACTGGAGGACGATAAACAACGGCCAATAGTCAAATATCTTTGCGTCTCAATCGCAGAGTGCACCAGAGTGAGTCTATGTTAAGCATTTCTGGATCGGCCACCGGCTCACACTGCAGGTCGTTGTGGTAGTATAACATCACCCCCGCCTTTGCTAGGCCGATCGTTTCGGAGAAGGGACAAAGCATTTATCGCGACTTTGGCATCGGTAATTTCTGAGTGTAATCAGGTTTTCTTAAAGAATATTAGGTCCCAGATATTTGACGCTTGACGCAGCCGCAGTTCGACAAACATGTTCACGAGACCTTGTGCATAGGCGTACATGCAGGAAACTTTCTCTGGTTTTAGCAATGAATCGTGGGATGGGTGTTTTGGATGAAATGTGTCGACCAGTGAAAGGTGGGGGGATGACAAACTCATCTGTGTCCGATTCAGTGATCCTACCATTACCTCTTTGCTTCTCCCTTGATATGTAATGTATGGAGTGTATGTGCAAGTTCCGGTGGCTATTTAATTGAAGTTATCCAAACTTTTGCGGTAAGTTGTCTGATCAAATGCCTGCTCTAGTGTGATTGCTTAGCAGATGCTACTTTGATCCGGAGCTCGGAAGGAAGACTGCGGCGGCCTGCATACCATCCTTCCACTACCAATGCTGAGAACTGTCTAGATTGAAGGACCACTTGCACAATATTTGGGTAACATCTTTTGTAGTTTGGCGATCGGCGCAGTCTCGAGATTGATTGCACTATGAAGATTTCCAGCGAGAGGGTCTCGCGAATGTGCCGCAATTGTTCCTGGTCTTGAGTGGTCACTTCTCGCTCATCATGAATTCCAGCCGCGGGAACACGGTGTACAAGGGTGGTCCTGACTAC